CCCGCCCCCCCATGCACATCAGAATTTATTTTCTCCCTAAAAATAAGGACCAGAGTTTGAGGGCCAGAAGGATACTGGCACAGAGGCAAGGTGGGAAATAAACCAACTCATGCAAGGTCACACAGATCACTGGCCAAGCTCAGAAACCTCGACTCTACTCTTTCGGCTGTAGTTTGACAACCTACTGCTCAGGTGGCAACAGTGGTGGGCTGTCAGCCACCCAACAGCTGGAGCAGGGCCAGAGCAGGCCTGGGAAAGGGGAACTGCAGCTTCTTGAGAGAGTCAGGTGTGGATTGCATGCTACCCTGAAAAGGTTCACCCTCTGTGAAACCATTTCACCTTTACTAATTAACTTGTTCTTCCACCTTCCTGTCATTAGGTGCCATTGTGGTGCTGCTTCTCCTCTCCTCTGTGGCCTTTTCCACCGGGTGTTGAAGTGCTTCAAGAGAGGGCTGATGTGAAATTAAGGCAATCTGCATTTTTAACCCTCCAGTGGGTTTAGAAGAACGACTAAGATGTTGCATTTTCACAGGCAGCAGAAGAGAAAATTAGCAAAGGAAGAAATGAATTGGCAGTAGATTGATCTAAAATAAAGTAAGAGGAAAAAAGGAGATTTGTGCAGATGAAGTAAGAGAGCGTAGAAAGGTTAAACAGTTACTTAGTTTGACTAGCAAAAAGCAGCAAAGAAAGTCAAGCCACAAAGAAAACATGCATAAGAATTCAGCTATCGACTCGTGTGTCTGAAACACTTCCTTCTGCTTTCCTCTTCTGCACCAGACAGACAGACAAAGAACACACAATCCAGGCCTGTGGTAAAAGGTTGATACCAAAATACCCAAAACTACCCTCGGGACATGATGTTTGCTTTCCCAGGGGATGACGATGCACAGGAGCAAGGTTCTTTAAAGAGAGACTTTTTTAATGAGGTATTTGCCAGGACTAATTAAGCCCTCACCAGCCTGCCTTTTGGAGATACAGGGCACCTGTTCAGCTTGCACTGCAATTGGAATTTAAGACATCTAGCTGGGGGAAAAATTAACCACTGAAAAAAATCATTCCGTGTTTTTGGCAGAAACTGGCTGAAATGGCCATTGCAGTTGACCTGCTGTTAAATTCCAGGGTCAGCAACAGGTTCTCTGTCCATCTCTGTTCTGCCTTCTAACCTTCTGCTAAAATTAACCAAGAAAAAAAAATCCAGCTGGACATTGAGCCTTGCTAGAAACCAGCATCCTGAGTTCTTTGTTTAATCTGGGTCTAGGTGCTTATTTTGATATCTCTAGATACCCTCTAAGTAGTAAGTGGTTGCATTTTCCCCTGCAGCACATTCCATCAGTCACCAGCTGATGCCAGCACTGCAGAGCCCAACCTTCTTGTCTAGTTGCCTAAATGCTAGTCTTTAGCCTTAAGTTGTGTAAAGCACTCTCCAACTTTAGAGGTGTTTAAACTGGGTTCCCACTGCTACGCACCACCCCTAACTCAGAGAGCTGAAAGAGAAAAGCCATTGCTCTTTAATATAGTTGAACTATCTCTCCAGAATGGCCAGCCGCCTGCTTCTGTTAGGCTGTTCTGGCATTCTCACATCTCTCGTTTTAATGATTTTGCAAATGAATGAACAGGAAGATTTGCACCTGCACATCAAAGAGAAGTCTTTTCAGGCATAATTAGGGTTGGAAAGAACTTACACAGACGTATTCTAGCAAACCCAACCTGTTACTCTTTAACCCTTGGTCATTGGCATCTAGCAAATATTTACCCAGTTGAAACTACAGTGCAAAGGTTTCTGCTGAGAGAAGCAAAGAGAAAAGATGTCAGCAGGACTGAAATGCAAGTGAAGGGAACAGCTACAAGTAGCAGTTTATTTTAAGAAATGTTTTGAAACTACTGTATGCTGCTTGTCAGTATTTTCCAAGCCTTTTGCATTATCCAAACTTTTCCAGTCGTTTCTCTCTTGAGTAAATCTGAAGCATGATGTTGGACACACATTTGTAGGTCCCTTATAAAGCAGCATCAGTGAAACTGCAGCTCCCCAGGTAAATGTCGCATTGCCCAGCTGCACCTGAACACGTATAAGGTATCAGGAAACCTTCATCCACTAGAGAGCACAGGACTGGGAAAGGCTACGTTATAAGGAAACGTACACTCATCACAGTCACTTCATCACCCCCACTTAACATCCAGCTGCTAATACCAAAACCAGAGCAGTCTGGAAGCTTTTTGCTGTCTTCAGGGAAGAGTCAGCAAGCCAAAAATCTTTTTAAAGGACATCTGCAAATCGTCAGGACGCTAAGAGAGAATATATTTAGTTGGATACGGTGGCTCTAAGTTTATTTGCAGAAGAGATCAATAAACCCTTTTCTCTCTTACAGATTGTTTATACTTACAGCCAGTCTGAACATTATTGTTAACTTATGTACAAGACATCTCCCACATGAACTGAAGGAGCTCCACCGAAGTTATTGAAGCTCTCTTGATTTACAGCAGCCTAGGATCCAGCCTGTAACTTCCTAACAGCAAAATGTAAAAAAGTAACAGTATTTGCTGCCACAGCAATAGATTGCACAGTGCTACAATACAATCAAGAACTTACTCATTTAAGCATTAAAGGCTTCAGTGTTCTTCTGTTCTCTCACCCTCAAGCCTCTCCCACTCAAAACATTAATCTTATGTGCATTTAAGATTTTCGCTTCTTTGTACATGTGGATAGTACTCACCTCCTCTTTGCCACTGTCTGGCACCCTGCAATAGACACCTCCAGTGGATGGATTATAGGAGTCTATGTAGGAGGAACAAGGAACAAATTTGCCACCTATAAAGTTTTCCAGCACTAAGAGGGCCTCTGACTGAGCCATCGCGAGCCACTTGCTTCACCTGTGATTTTTTTTCTACAAGGCATCAATTTGGACTAGTGGGTCTGTATGTATTTGCACAGTGAGTTGGAACTCCTCCCCTCTCTCTCTGTCTTCCCTGCACCGCTCGCTCACGAGTGGGAACAAATTCTGGCAACCACAGCAGAAAAGACGAAAGGAGGGAAAAATTGTTATTTCTGTGACACTCGGTTCTTTTCTAGGAGTTGAAGCAGGGAGGCAGGATCAGTTTAGTTTTTAGAAAATAGCTCTTCTCTGTCTACAGAATCACAGAATAGTTTGGGTTGGAAGGGACCTTTAGAGGCCACCTAGCCCGACCCCCCTGCAGTGAGCAGGGACATCTTCAACTGGATCAGGTTACTCAGAGCCCCATCCAACCTCACCTTGAATGTTTCCATGTATGGGACATCTACCACTGCTCTGGGCAACCTGTTCCAGTGTTTTACCACCCTCATTGTAAAAATTTTTTTTTCCTTCTATCTAGTCTGAATCTACCCTCTTTTAGTTTAAAACCATCACCCCTTGTCCTGTCACAGCTGGCCCTGCTAAAAAGTCTGTCCCCATCTTTCCTGTAGGCCCCCTTTAAGTACTGAAAGGCCGCAATCAGGTCTCCCCACAGCCTTCTCTTCTCCAGGCTGATCAAGCCCAACTCTCTCAGCCTGTCCTCATAGGAGAGATGCTCCAGCCCTCGGATCATCCTCATGGTCTTCCTCTGCTCCAATAGGTCCATGTCTTTTCTGTTCTGAGAGCTCCAGAGCTGGATGCAGTACTCCAGCTGGGGTGAATACTGAAGAAGGGGAGAAAAAGGACAGTTTGACGGGGAAATTTCTCCCTGTACTAGTTTTTCAAGCTGCAGTCTGAAGACATTTTGCAACAGCTATACAAAATAATTCAAAATCCAAACACCTAGCCAGGAATCTGCTCCTTATTGTCAGCAGACAGAGAAAAGACACTTGGACTAGCATGTCTGCAGCTCATGTTCATTGCTTTGGATCAATACTTTTCCTTGTAACCCCAAAAACATTGCTTCTGCCAAAACAAAAGATTTTAAACATAAGAAACTCTCTTTTTTCCACCAATATCCCCAAACATCAAACAATACAAGCGGCTGCGTGGCCCTTCAGTTCAAAACAGTTGAGAAGCACAAACCTACCTGGTACACTCAGTTGTATGTTGTCAGAAATCCAGTTTTTAAAAAAAGCAGCAAGAAACCAGCTTTCATGCTTTCCTTTCCATAGATATCCCAGTGGGAGCCACCTTACTGTAGAGGAGACTGTTACATATAATTAGGCTTTTCATTAACTTCCCAAGAACCCGAACTGCCTGGTAAGAGCTGTGTAAAAGACATTTTTCTCCAGGAGAGAATGCTTAGATCATCAAATTGCTCTAAGACTGCATGCCACCTCCTTGCACTCCAGAGACAGTCAAAACACCACATCCATATTGGAGAGCAGTATGTTGTCCCCAGGAGATTATGAGTATCTCAATCAACAGTTTAGAAAGTTTTTGCACCCTAGACTACTGCCAAGCCATCAGATTTCTTGTGGATCGACATGCAAACATATTTGGATTGAATAAAGGTGATACGTTTTTGTTGCACAACAACAGATCATTTCTGCATCAACCAACTGGCGCCTCCAGGCAGAGCTCAGATCAGTGCTCAAAGGTACTGCAGTCATGTTTAAATTGGATTAGCTAATACCTCTGGCTCTCCCAAGCTACAAACTGGGAAAGCATGCAGTAGCTTTTCTGTTGTCACAGAACAACGAGTCTCAAAATTTAATGCAACCATGTCTGAGAAGGGTTATTATCAGAGGTTCATCACGTATTGCACTTCCTTGTCCACAAACAGCAAGGAATTTACTTAAGTCTTAAAACTGTGCCTGTAGTGCTTCAGCTGACCCCCGACTTAAAAGCAACCTAAACATTTCCAAGGTTTGAAGGCAAGTTCAAGTGGAGCAGGTTCAACACAAGAGCTTAGCAGTACAAATCTCTGGAATCCAACAAGTGCACTGAAATCTTCATGGCTGACGTGTTGACACTGGTAAGTATTTATAGTCCAGAAATTACATTTAAAAAGACATAACAAACAGCAATAACTCATAGGCTTCAGTTTTGGCAGTAACAGTTTTCAGGTATTTCAGATTCATAAGATTTTACAAAAGTCATTCCCACATCAAGCATTGCTGATGTTTCTACAAACGGCCATGCAGTCAACAGTGCAACTTATCTATGTCATCAGGTGCTGCTGAATTGGGGCTAAAGCATGCAAGTGCAAAAAAAGTTACCTACCAAAAAAAACATGTGGGAAGAGTAGGTATGGACCGTACATAAGTTTGAACTAAATCACAATCATAGACTTTTTGTAGCCTTCACTACACAGGGCACAGCTTTACTTCAGTTAACCCGGGTGACTGATGGTCTGAAGCGAGTACTTTAGGTCCTTCCCCTCACTACTATGGTCAAAGTAGAGCTGTCTCCACCCCACACCCACGTACAGGTCCTGGAATACCTGAGGTCCTCTCATACTTCCTATTGAAAAAAAATCTTCCAAGTTGTAGCAAAGCATGTCTGTCGCGATCTTACGCTGGAGGTGGCAGAAGGACCCTCTTTTCAGTTGGGAGGTTTTGCCTGCCCTATTACTGAAAAGTGTGAAGGAGTAACAGGTCTTGAGTAAGCACAACAATCTGGCGTTAGCATACAGCCCGAGATTAAACTGCCAGCTTTTGTTCAAAAGAGTGCTAAGTCTGGATGAAAGAGATGTGTATGCGCAGTAGCTGCACTGAGTAACGTGAGAAAAACTGAAATTATTTCCACAGAAAGACAAGTCGCTTGCCAGTTTCGCATTTTAACTCATAAGTTTACTCTGAAACTTCTGAGTTATGGAAAGTAAAGTGTGATTTAACACAATGTAGAAGCGTTTAAATAACGAAAGATGAAGCAGAAAAAAAATTATGCTCAGACAAAGTTATTTTATTATCCTTACAGTTTAAAAAATAAAATTAGCCAACGTTGGCACAGCTTCTACTACACAGCAAAAGAAAACAACTTTTTTTTAAATAAATTTTGGGACAGGGAAAATAATCCCAGGATAATACTACATGCCATTCTCTTGAAACCAAAGTAAATAGGTTCTTTTTTTTCCCTGAATATGCATTCAACTCAAACCTAAAAATATATTAGACCAATAAAGTTACTTTACGGAATTAATGTGCAGCAAAAAAGCAAATCAAAGAAAATATGTAAACAATTTATGTCTGGAAGTAAGGAGTTTGTCTCATGATGATTCATCATCTTTTTCTCTAATTCAACTTTCTAAGATTTTTCCGTCAAGCTCTCTAAGGGCTAAATTCCACATGGAGAAACACATGAGATTCTTGAGATCGCGAAGTGCAACATCAGCAGTTCCTTGTCAGTTGGCATCTTGTTCTGCAGTGGGAGAGACTGATGAAGGGCTCCCCAGACGTCTCACACGATTTAACTTTTGTCATCATCAACATCTCCCCAATTAATTGCACTTGTTCCTTCAACTGAAGTAATTGGATTCTTAAACAGAAGTTTGGATATCTGATTGCATTTTGCTTGGACGGTGGAAGTTCTGGCACTGTCATTCCTTAATCTAAAAATATAAGCAAATGGGAAAAAAAACCCTATGGTGAAAAACTAAGTACTAAATGTAAAACGATCACAGCTTTTTTTCAACATGATACAGTTAGCTGTGGAAAAAATCATTCCTTCTGCTCTGAAATTCTCTGGAACAAGATCACAACTACTAAAACAGTAATTCCCAACTGAAAATCAAAGAGTTACTTAATCCCCAGTGCTCCAAACACTGGGCATCATAGATCTAAATAGGACCCCATTCATTTAATGGAAAATGGGTGCAAGATTAAAGCCCTAATTCTGGATCCTATTTAAGGCCAGACAGAGCATTTAAGCTCCATAAGGCCCAGAGCCTCTGACACCCTAGCACCTCATTCCTACCCTCACAGGGAGAAGCCAGAAATTCTCATGCTCTAGTTCCAAGTTTTGACATTAAATAACTCAGCTTTAAGTCTCAGTCCCAGAACTTCATTAATGTGATTAAAGTGCTCTTCCTCAGGCCTAGAATTAGAGTTTAATTCTAATCCAAAAATCATAGCAAGATTTTTTAAAGTGACAGATAGAGGGGCATTCATATTTTTTGCTCCTAACAGAAGGCAAACCATTTATATTTAGCCCCACAGCCTTTGCTTTCTCTCACACAGGATCAGAACACATCTATAGGCGTTGGTAAAAATCAAATATACAATTGTCTTTAATGCTAACAGAGAAAGATCTGGGATCCAAACTACCCACAGTAAAAATGGCCAACACTTCTAACTTACACACTACTGCCAGTATATTTATGCAGGCAATTAGATTTCAGAAAGACTGATGTATGTTAAAATAATGAAGTGTTATTTTTTAACTTGAGGGGGGAAAATGCACCACATTCAAAAATTCTAAATAGAGTAATTTTTGCTCCTAATAAATTTAACAGAACCATGGCAAGTTTTCCTCACATCTTGCTGAAGCACCGTTTCTTTTTCAGCAGAATAAATTCTCTTTTTAGGCCAAAGGGTATAAAACAGATCTTAACCATAAAAACTAAATGCTACGGGAAAGTTAACACTGTTCCTTTATAGTATAGAAAATCCATTACAAAAACGCCATACCTCTGTGACAACTCCTGCAGCAATAGTGGAACCACTGTAGCGCAACATAAACCTCCCGAGCTCTTTAAAGTCTTTATACAACTCTAGAGCAACAGGTCTTTGAGTTTGTAGTTCTATTAGAGCATTCTGTCCTTTAGTCAAGAACCTGCAGGTAAATAAAACAGAAAAATCTACTGTAAATATATGCATCCATAAATGAAAAAGAATGGTGAATAAATTGATAAAATCAACTTAAAAAGCCAAAAGTATAATGATCAAGCTTGATTTAAAGTATAACCCAAGCACCAGACTGAAAAGTCATTTGCCTGGAACATACCTTTTAAAAAGGCATATGAGTTTTCTTTAAAGACTTCTAGAGAACGGCATCCACCACAACATTTAACAAATTGTTTTGAAGTTAATGATCTCATTAATACCTGTTTTTTCATATCTAGTACAAATCAAGTCTTGTTTCAAACCCAACGACAAAAGAGCTAATTCGTTGCTCTCTAGAAGCTATGATTTTTCTTCCCATTACCTTTTAGCAACTGTTTCAGCCATACAGTTTCTGGAAAAGGATTATTCTGATAATGTTTATGTATCAAATAGCGTTTCTACCCAAATACAGCTTTAAATAACTAGAGGGATGTTCCCATATTTTAACTTGTACGGGAAGAGTCCCTAAATCTCATTTTCTTTGACCCACTGTCTAGTCGAGTTTATTTTAGACAGCAACCCATCTCCAGAATTATATCAAGAATCCCATGCCATTACAAGAAGAAAAAAGAGATAATGTGTAAAAAAAAAAAAAAAATAATAAAAAAAAAAATCCTTCAAGTGCAGGGCTGGTGATCTAGGATTCACTCCCAATTCTGCAAGTGACCTTAGGCAAGTCATTTAACTGTTCGCATGCTCAGCATTTATCAAGTGGTCAAGAGGTTTTTCACTTTGTAAAGCGCTCTGAAACCTAAATATGAAACCAACGGAAACATTGAAAGCATATTCTTATAAACACATTATTGCTTCATAATAGAACCTGCTTGATATATACCATATACTAATCAAAAGTCAGCCCATTTCTTGAGTAACTATTAACTATTCAAAATACTTACTTAGGCTTTTTCTGTGTCACTTCACCAGTGCTTTTGTGCAGGACACTCAACAGCCTTCTAATAGTAGCAGGTTCACTTACGGTTTGATAGTGTAAAAGCACCTAAAAATATTTTTTTCAGTTATTAAACATTCTATAGTAATCAGAAATACTAGGTGTTACTACTTGGAAACATCAACTTCTTTTCAGACTGATTTTTTAAACAAATGCTTATAAAAACTTCTCTCAGAGGAGTCACTGCCTTGCATTCAGTAACTGTTCCTAGTTCCTAAACTTTGTGCGCTCTACAGATATGACACAAATGACATGTATTAATTCATCGTTAATATATTTTTCATTCTTAAGTGTTTTGCTTTTGCCACTTCAGTGCAGTTCCGTAGCACAAGCATATTTTATTTATTTTAAAAGGTATGTTACAACTAAGTGCATCATTATACTTCTACACGGCGTGAGCTTTCTAAAGGACAGCCTAGCCTGACTGTGGTGGAACTCATGATCTCTGAAATGGCTCCACTACATATTAAAAGCCAGTAAGAATATGCATAAGCAGCCACAACAGCCCCTTACATCCTCTTTAAATTACAGAAGACTCCATTTCCTCTGGAGAAACAGAACCACTTCTGGATGCTAAACGCGTCTCGTATTCAGGGGGTCAAACATGGAGAGGAAAAGCCCTGAGCAACCCATAATGAACACAGGAACTTTCACAGAGACTTACTGGAAATCCTTTAGTGATTGGAACCTCAATATTGAAGATGAGAATCCGAGCTCTGAAACGAGTGCAAGCTTTAATGGGTTCCTTAGGATCACAAAATACACAGCCAACACTACAAGAGAAAAGAAGAGAACAAAATAAACTGATATAGATCTTCACATAGAAATGTTAATCCCCGCACTGGAAAAAGATAAATATTTAAGACAAGTAAAGCAACGACAACACCACTTTAATATAACCAGGGCAGGGGGGGAATCAGGAACACCATATTAAAGCCTGTAATAAAATTATTTCTTAGACAATGTCTACAGTATTCTGTGGGTATGCATGAAGAGGTCTGTCTAGTTCAGTGAACAATTACGTCCATTGCTAATCAGTTTCTAAAAATGTCACTGTTTCCTGTGCGTAGGTACTTTGAAGAATTAAGAGTTCCATTCAGAGATTAACTGTTCTAGATCAATAGCACAGAATATAGCAGGGTGCCCAAAATTGCAGTGCTGCTGCCTGTAACTCAACTATTTTGCTGATAAAGGAACATCATGATCAGGACTCTCAAAACTTAAGCTCTCAGCAGCACTCATTTCCAAAAAAACTCTACGTAGAGTCACAAGAAAGCTGCTGCTCATTACAAGTCAATAAGGTAGACTAGACATGGCTCTTTCACAGTGGCTAATTTTAGCCATCTAAAATGAAAGGAAAATTAATCCCACCCAGGAAAACATGACTGAAGAGAACAAATGACGTGATTAAACATACACATCAGATGTAATCAAATTTTGTCAATATCAAGAGGACTTAAAACTTCGTACCTTTTTTTGACAAACCTAACATATCTCCAAAAGATGAATGGCATTAAGGTAACGAATTGACTCAAGCCTTCATTCAACAAGTAGAACAAGAGTTTTCCCTCCACCCCACCCCACCCCCCCCGCATTTACCACAGAGAATCACGCCCCATTATGAAATGGCAATACAGAAAATCCTGTGCTTTTCCCTTAAAAGCAGAGCATAAATTTGCAAAACTATCAATGCAAGGAGTTTTCCAAACAGTAGCTTGAAAGTTTGCTGTCTGAAGTCCAACTGGAATGTAAAAAAGCTGAACAAGTTATGGATCCAATTTTCTAGCCTAAACAATAACTGACACTTACCTAAAAATTTGAGGCCAACGCTTAGCATGAAACCTATTGATTGAAATAGGCACAAGGAGATTTGCTGTGTCTCCCTGAATGTATCAGACCTCCCCAAAAAGGTCAGCAAAACATTTACCAAATCAAATGTTACAAGCAGCTAAATGTGTTGAATAAACAGTGTCCATCAATTCCACTTGCCCAGATTTGCTTATTGGTATGCAATGGCAGTTGTTTGGATGTGTTTTGTTAGAATGATTTATGATTCAATAAGCTCTTAAAAAAAAAAAAAAAAAATCTGTTTTATTTAGCAATAAGGATTTACTTAATTCAGCAATTAAAATCTCCAAGGAGAAGTCTTAAGGAAAAAGGCATTGAAGGTTACCAGTGTCAGCACTAGGGCAAAGTATGAAAACGAACAGTATTCTTCTGAGGTTGCCGTTGTACATGTAGCAGATGTTTCCAACGTTTGTACATGCAAGCCAGGTGATATGCATCACTTTGGTTTTAAATATCCTGGTAGCCACATCATTCTTCAAGTAAACTGCTGATTGTTAAGTGTAATAGTTATAAAGCTTTTCATTAAAAACAAACCGTTAGTTAGACTGAAACCCAGTTTTGCTCACTTGATTTTGATGATATCCATGCCGGTCAAAGTGAGACTAACTTGATCTCCTGCTGCAGCCCAATCAACTGGTTCATCATGCAGTGTGATTCCTGGAAATGAGTAAGAACAGAACCTCACAGTGAAGTACCTAGGTTCTGAGCTACAAACAAACAGCTCTGTTTGGGCCATTTGTGCTTCATCAACCATTACTCATCAATTTTCAGTATGAATGGGTTGAGAGTAAAAGCTTTTTAACTGAGAAGACCGAGGAAGCTTTTTTTTCCCCTTGGTGAGGACTCGCTATTCTCTCACCCCACCCTGCACAATAACATGGCTTTATTTAAGCCAGAGGAGGGGACCTGGCACTTGTCTCACAGCGCAGATGACGCAGTCCTGAAATGCCGTAGTACTAATATCTCCGTATCTGCCCCACCCATCCTTTGAGGCACACGCACACCCTAGACCGCATCTTTCATATACTTTAATGGTACTATGTCAACTTTCATTTACCTTAAGTGGGTTTGCTGACTCTTTCATAAAAAAGCGTAACTGATGCCTTTCGCTCACGACATCACATCTATTAGAAAGCATCTTCAAAAGTAATTTTATTCTGATTTCGATGTATTTTAATCGCTTTCAAAGATAACCTGGCTGGTGGGTGAGGACAAAACTAATTGCTCCTGACTTAACATTCTGAGGCTTCTGGTAGACATGAAGAAGGAAAGGAAAAAACCCCACTTTTTATAAATACTGCATACATTTATAGGATCTAGTTCTATTTCGCTACAGATTGTATTTGTTGATTTGCAAGTCTGTTCCCAAAACCACTTGTCAAAAATATGACAGGAAGCATCATTCAACTACAAGCATGTTAAGCACTGTTTTTTAAGCAGTGTTGATAATTATTTCACATATACACATCATTCTCACAGAACAAGTGAAACTCAGCCTCTTGAAATGAAAAACTGGAATCTTAATGTGCACGCTACCTTTAGTAAATATTGTACGATAAATTAAATTATCTCTTCCTTACATTAAATATAAATAAAACATGCTTAATGAACTAATACCCCCAACCTTCACCTGCATTTCAGCCATATGAGAGGCAGCAAAAAGAAAAGTTATAGAATTGTACCACTGGGGATACTCAGAAAAAATACATCCTTTTCCATGCTACTTCATCCACTCCCAAAACAGAAGAGTGACTACAGTGCTCTGATACTCATATTCATCCAAGTCACTGTAACGTTCCTGTGCACGCGAATAAAGTGCATACAACCGTACATAAACACGCACAATAAAGAGCTTCCCAAATTAGCACTGAATGAGCTGGTTCTGGAACAGCACAGGACAGTTGAACCAGCGCGTTGCTGAATTCAGGCTAAATAGTTAGATTCAGAAACCTATTCGTTTATTTTGAGGGCTTAATTTTTTACTCATTGGTCAATGTAGGAAAATCATAATTTTATCTTTCTGTTTCCATATGAAACAAAAACAACTCTGCAGTACAAAGGCAGCAAGCTTAATCAAGAAACGGCTAAACATTTAATGTCTTGACCTAGCTTCTCCTCTTTTCAGAAATCCAATGTATTGAAATTTAAATCCAATTTTCTTCTCTCTTGTAGTTGCTCAGGACAATTATATCCTGGAAGTTTGCATGTTATGAAAGGATCGGTGACAAATTTCATGAACATCAGACAGCAGAGACTTAATTCTCAAGCTTTTTCACATCTAATTCATAAGATTAATTTCTAAAGGATATTCAACATCCTCACACTTCCTAATGGCAGTAACACTGCACAGTAAAGCTGAGCATTAATGATTCCTGTACTGGATATTTTTATAGACATTGCTGGAACTCATATGTTTTTATAGGTTCTTCATAAAGCAATGTCAAAAGTCATGAGGCTGCAACATTTGGAATACCTGATATGGTAAAAAAAAAAGGTAAAAAAATGCGCAAGATTTCACATACTCTTCATAGACATATTTATACAGACACAGTCACATCTAAAGAAATTCGTTTTATGCTTTCACATTTTATGTTTGACAGTTAGTATCAGTTTGACAGTCTGTTACCATTTCAGTAACTGCTTCTAGCCCAGTATTGACCTGAAAGTAAACACGCTTCTGAAGACTGTACCTTTTGCAGTGCAAGTTTCATTGGGAGGCATTGCCAGAAGTCGGTCTCCAGCTTGAATATAGCCTGCTTCTATTTTACCAGTCACACAAAATCCTGATCCTTGGTCTGTAATAAACACAGTAATAATTCCCAAAAACCTGATAACAAGATCAATTTCCCATCACAAGTTAGCCCTTCGGTAATGCATAGATAAGTTTTTAATATAGTGAAGACGTTTTTTTTCCCCCCCAGTAGAGTGTTCAGTACTTGCAAGTTAGCCAGCTGTGCATCATAATGAAAATGAAACATTACATTCAAAACCTCTAGATCTTATGTTTTTCAGAACTAAGGGAGAAATATCCTTCTTTAAACAAATGTAGGCACATGAAGAAATATTTTTTAGTTTTTCAATATTAGATTAAGTCCCTTAATTTCTAGCAATTTTATTTAATTCAGCACTTTCTCACTACAATTACAAACAAAAAAGCATACCACAGACCTCTTGTAAAAATTCTCATGCATACAGGTGCAAATTCCTACGCCACTGACTGTTTAACTGAGTCAGAATCCTACATACTCTGTCTGCATATTACTTTTACTCCTGGAAAGTCAAAGATTGATTCAGTCCTATTTAATAGGAGGAGCTATTGTAATTGTGGAGAAATAAGTATTTCTGAATAAAAGAACCGCAAAGGTTTTTTTCTCCAATGTCCTATTACTCTGTTCATTATTTGAATATGTCATTTATTTTCAACATATGTGCTACACATGCACATACACCTTAAAAAAATGCCTCATCTCCTTAGCATGTGTTTGCAGGCATGTTTAGAAAGAATCCTCTGAGGTGATTCGACAATGACATTTTCAGAATCCGTAAAAAAAAAAAACACCAAATATAACTTTTGCTGAACTTTAGAATTCGGTGATAAGCAAGCACCTGAGTATTTTTTGTGTCACATTAGATTAAAAGCTTAATTTAAAGCTGAATTCAAAAGAGCAAGTTGACCTCAAATCTTGAGGTCACGTACTACCTACTTGCTCTTTTGCGTTCATCACCATTATTGATGAATGCTTCCATCTACCTATCTGGAAAAATATTACCAGTATGCCTGCTAATTTTCCTCTATTCCAGCAAATGAGTTGAATGCAGCCAATTAATAGACATCTGATATCAAAAGAACACAAAACTGGAGAAGCAGATACTAGGAAAAGAAACCCCAAGTCATGGTACAAATACCACATCAACATGGTACACAAAAGAACCCGAAGCTGGCTCTGCAAGCACTTGCAGGCAACCAGAAACCTGAACTGGTTCCAGGTTTCCAACCACTCCCAAGCACAATCAAGAACCATTTCTCTTTTTTTTCACATCATCACCAGCTCTGGCTTGGTAAACCAGTGCGGTGTCTGAAGCTTCACCCTCTCCCAATGTTGCTTCCTGCAAAGCGTGAAGTTCCTTCAGCTCCCCATGAAATCAATGCAAGTACCAAGTGGATAGTGAGGGACAGAATCAGGGCATAAAAAATGGCCCGATTTCTGTGTATCATGGTACTTGGGTTCTGCCAGAGCATGTTCTTTGTCCTCAGGATTTGGCTGCAGGACAAGGCTTTTCTAAAGTCAGGTCAAGTCATACCCTAGACAGCATTATATTACAGTAAGTGGGGACTGATGCAGCAGTGAAGGAATTTACAGGGACTTCTTGGATCAGGAGACAGTTTGCCTGCAGAGAATATTAGGAGGGCTATGGAGGACAACAGCTAAAAATCAGGCTGAGGTAGATGAATCATATGTGTGGGTAACTTTATTAAAGAAAGGGGTTTTCCAAACTACGTAAGTATACGCTCAGCACTCTCACTTTTTACACACTTCTATGGACTGCTCCTCCTGAGCATGCACAGGCACTGGAATAGAGCTGAGAACAACTGTTGCTTCATGTACTCATACCTGCAGCTACTTCCTCTGGTGGCATCCAAGTTAATTATGTTTTGAGATCACAAGGTAAAGAAGAAAATAGCCTAAAAAACACCTAAAAGGCCACATTTAGTGATATACCCTGTATATGTAAATTGAGTCCCTTCCAAAGCCTTTTTTTTTTTGCATACTTTAGCAAAAAATCAGACTTTTCCACAGAACAGACTTAGTCAAAATTGCTCATTCTGTGAAACATAGCTCAACACAAAAATGATTATTGCAACAAAAAAGTTGTGATAATATTTTGAAAAGTTCTCAATCAGTAATCCTAATACGCTTTCCCACTGCTGACAAAATTAAAAAAAAAAAACAAAAAAATCCAAACAAACCCCAAAACAGTGATGGCATAGATGATGAAACTAGTGGTAACACACTAGGGTAAATTCTCATGCAAGGTTTCAGTATTGAAAATTATGGCTTCACTATCTTAAGTCAGCTAACCCAGGGCATGTACAGCATCTACTGTTTTCTCAAAGACCCATGTGAAAATTACACAAAATTTATTTTTCCAATTACAATCAATATTTTGTTCCGGTTTGTTTGTACTTCCCCTATAAAATCCCTATATATAAAGTAAAATTTCTTTTAAAACATGAATTTCAATAATAATATCCGATTACAAGTATTTACAACATTTCAAATCATGCTGTCATTTAGTTTGCAACATTTCTCAAGGGACCTACGGAACATTTCAAATGTGATGACTGTTACAAACCTTATTTCTTCTAGGGAATAGCTAAGCTGCCCTTCATTAAATCCTTGGCTGGTTATAACAGTCTCACCACTGCTGCCCTTTTCTTACACCTCACCCCTCCCCCCCAGGTTTTTACATGAAAATAAAGGAATTTATCATTATTTACAGCTACAACAATGAACATAAAAGGATCAAGTCAAACTTTTTTAAAATCTAGGGAGTGGAAGGTAAAAAAGCCCAAAGTCAAAAGTCTGAGAAATACTCATTTAGGCAACAAGAACCAGTTTTGGGAAGAAAAACTCCCAAATTCTGTCACACAGAACCATCAACTCATTACATAGCCAATTAGCTGGTCATGCAGATTTTTTTGCTCAATTTCTTTTCCAATGTGTTTCTCCTTCAGTGGTACTATCTAAAATTCGATAAAGAACACTGCTTGAGAGCTTGCTATTCCCATTCAAGACTACTGATGTACATAAAGCTTCTACTTTAAGTCACATTTTTACATCATTTTTCAACACTTGTGTTAAATATTGGTGAAACAGTGGTAATAATACTATAAAAACAACCAACCTTTAAAAACATCAGCAACACACAACCTAAATGGTTTATCCACTGATCTCTGTGGTGGCTTGAAAGAATCTGCAAACAAATTGATAAGACATTTTAGAATGTCTATATTCAATAACTATCTCAACAACTTCTCACTTAGGGATAAAACAACTATCTTGCATTCCAAAGACTTTGTCCCACATTTTCCCCCAAATAAAAGTTATGACATGCACAGGACTAAGCGTTTTTAAATGAGGAAAATTGTACTCACCAATTTGCTCTAACAAACACTTTCCTTTATACCACTGTGTGAGGTCACTTGATTGACCCCTTGTGACCAGATTTTCACCACCAAGGCCACTCGTTGGGATATAAGCCACATCTGATTCCTAATTACGAAAACAAACAGAAGTTAAGCATACCTTAACAACAGGATCTTCTAGCAGAAGCAAGAGGTACATTTTTTTTCAATATTATGCATCTAAGCTATAAAAGAACAGTGGGCACATTCATGTTTCCCCTGGAGGTTACTCAGTGGATCCATTTCCCTTCTGTTTACCTCTTGTTGGAGCACTGTGATCAGGCAAAGATTGGAGATATTTAAACCTGATGATAAAACATGAACAACTAGAAACTGAGTTCAGTAACAAACTCCAGTTCCATATCTGATAGGCAAAACTTCAGTTTGAATTGCTGGTTTATGCATAGGGATTTCAGGAAGGCCACAGCCAGTCCAAATGGATAGTAGCTGGAACTGAGGAAACGTGAGACGAACAGTCAAGAATGGCAAATGGGGAGTGCTCTTATGAGTGTTCATAATCCACACCTGCTCTGGTATAAAACTCTCTACTGTCAATCATGTAATCCTGAACATTAAGACAGACGATGCTTGGTCTGTTCTGCTTTGTAGGCAACAATCCCAAGAAACCACAAATGAGGTGAGTGCCCCAAAGATTCAACAAACCTAAACAAAGATGGTGACAGAGAGAGTACTAAAGAACTGACTAACCTTATTCAGGCTCAATATACACCCAGCCAGTAAAAAAAAAAAAAAAGAATCTGCTATACTATGTGCACATAGTAGTAGCAGGGAAGTGACACAAAATAAGCTGACTGTAAGAAAAGCTCATCCAACCCAAATGCCTGAACAAAGCAACAAAGACCTCAGAAATTTACATTACCTTAAAGCCAGCTTGTTTAAGAAATTGGCCAAGCTTACTCGTAATTTCCTGAAATCTTTCCTGTTGCCAATTGACCTAAAATAGAAAACAGATTATGGTAATAAAATTGTAGGGTTTTAGCCATGACTCGAACATAAAACTGCCTGTCATCAACTCTGTAGTACCAGTAGGTGTTCTTCATGCACAGCACCCAATGGATTTATAAATGACATTTCCACATGGATTCATAGTTGAATACAGAAGAGCATACACATTAACAATTACCAATAGCAAACAACACAGGACTTAACTTGCAAGTCCCTTCAGTTTGATTTGTTCTTGAACAGCACCTTTAAGTTTATACAAAATTCAGATTCAGCAAGTGTATATACAACACAGTAATAATCTAAAACACAACTAGTAATATCTAACACACCTTACAGGTTTCAGTAAAGCTCTTGGGGTCTTGACCTGAATGACCACCAAGATGCCCTTGCAGACACCACTGGGTTAACTTCTTATGCGAGATTTCCACAAGTACAAGAGGGATCCCTACTCATTTTAGCACCAAAACCGTCCTTCTGTGTGCTTTGAAAATACACCCATAAATAAAAAGTATTGTAAAGTCTAAACACAGGTGACAGAGCTGAGAATCAAAGAAACAAACAATACTTTATTATTAGTTTCACAATACTGATCCTTAAACTTAAGGTCCAGAACCCTAGATGGAAGCCCTTCAATTAAATGAAAAAATGAAGCATGTACCTGGTCCATTTTATTGACTGCAACAGCTAGCTGTGTCACTCCAAGAGAGCGCACTAATAATCCATGCTCTCGAGTTTGTCCACCCGTCTCAAATCCTGCTTCAAACTCTCCTCTGCTAGCGTCCACAACCAAAATAGCCACATCAGCCTAGATTGAAAAAAAATACAACCAAAAGTGGTTAAGAAGTGGAAATAATCTGGGTAAATATGTCAACTGGCAACATTTTACACAAAACGTACTTTACATGGGAAGAACCCTGATGTACTTGAAGTGTAATTGAAACTGCTCTGTCCTATCTGTGTCATGCCCACTTCAGTGAGATATTACAGCATTATGTCATCTCATGTCATAAAGTACCATTTTTTTATTAAATAGAAGCCAACTCCTGGTTCTGGGAATCTGTCCTCTTCAAACTACCCACTACTGATGTGCTGCTCAACTAAACAAAAGCAGCCCCGTGCTCCAGAAGCTTAAGAACAGGTATGAGCACAATGTCTAGCTCTCCCCGTCTCAGTCTGGACACCTTCATAGTGAGAAGCTGCAAAAATTACAGATAAATCACCTCACTATACAACTGGGAAAACCAGTCGACTGCACCTTGGATGTGGATGCTTCACAGTGCACTCAGCACGCTGGAGCATGCCAAAATCACAAGGTGGAAAAGACGAAGTAGCCTATTTTATCATCTAGGCAAACTCTCTGCCACTGCATTGAGAGCAAATAGGTATCACAGAGTCTACAGCACTGCACAAAAGTCAGCACATAAGCACAGGGAAAACCCACAGATTTTTCTGTTAGCCTTAAATGCTGCTAATATTTCTTCTACTTTTCCTGCTTTGGTAAGTAACAGCCAGTTAGACCATCACCACACACCAAGCAACAGCAACAGATGTGAACAATAAAGGTACTGCTGTCAACAGGCCTCATGAGATGGACATAATGGAAAGAGAGAGGAGAAAAAGTGGTGCTTTCTCCCTTTCCTGACATGCTTATGCTTCAGGATGCCAGAAGGAACAGAAACAGCACATTGCCCTGGCTCTGAATTCCCCTCACCTTGTCCTAGGCGTGAAATCCCCGCAGCTTACACAGAGACAGTGAAAGTGTGAGAACGGGAAAAGGATGAGGGATGAATTTCCCCACAATCTCAAGCCTCAGAAGTGCATTGTGGTGAAGTTCTCCCTCAAAAAAAGGCCATCCTGTATTTTCTAAATTATAAAAACCGTACCTCGGGACTTACGTGAATTAACCATATTTTATCAAAGGCCAGATCCTGGCCCTGATAACACTGATTTGCATTTTGCATAACAGCAGTTGGGGATTCACCTCCTAACAGAATTCTCCACGATGAAAAGGCATCAGAGCCATTTCCACATTTGCTTTCTTCTACCCATTGCTTCAGTCCTGAGGCTACTCTAATAGGCAACAGAAACTTGCAAAGTTTCAGTGAATCTTTAGCAGGCTTCAGAACAGACCAGCCCCTCACCATTCTGAGAGCCAAGGAAACAGAGATACCAGGTCTTATGTGGCCAGCCCCATCTTCTGCTGAACTGATACAACTGCTGGTGGATCTGCAAGTCTTCTCTTAACACTTCTACCTGTATTACTTTTACCCCCAAAAGACAAACCAATTTAAGGTTGTAAAGAAGATGGCATGGCTGAGTCAACATTTTCCACTGTTCTGAAACTAAAGATCCATTTCTAATTTTAAAACTCCTGAACTTCCTACAACATATGCTCCACAATATAGACAACTACACAAGCTCTACACCATAACTGGCAAATTCTGACTATTCTGTAGCCTAATTACTGGGTCACAAGGTCTGAATTCTTACCCAGGCTCTGCTTCAGAGCTAGAACAGAATTTGGGGCACACCAGTCTTCCTACAGTACAGTACTGTACACATGTACACAGTATGTACACATGTACACAGTACTACACATGTAAAATCATACTAACAGTATCCATCCTTACTGAGATCTTAAGATAAATAACTAATATAAACACTCACATTTCAGACTGTAATGACACGTACAAAGCAGATACCTCTACACAGTAGCTTATCTTCAGAAAAAAAATAATCTTGGATTATACCCCTACTTTGGAGAATCAATTCTACTATTTTAAAAAGGGCGCCTTTAAGTGGAAAAAATTTCACACATTTTATATCATGTGACCACAGGTTATTCTTCCCCCTCTCTGATTTATTATTTCCATAAATTAAATAACTAACCTATATGAGAACAGTAAGTGCCATACTGAATTCAATGGGTAGTGCCAAATACTTTTGACTTTACCTACCGTTTCTAAAGGAAGTTGCACGTAGTCTCTGCAAATGTCTTACTGACAACGCAAATGCATTCTGCATAAACTTTGCTCAAAACCACTTAAAATCTTTACCTACAAGACCACTTTCACAGAACTTCTTGTTGAGTAGACATATGCCACATTTGAATAGCATTCAAAGCTCAACTCTGATTTTATCAAACTGCAACTTAGTATTCAAATTATTTCCCTAATAAAACTCTCCTCCAAAGTTAACGTCCCAAAAAAAGAAAAGCAACTGCCTTTAAAGTTAAACAAACACATTCTTTTTTAAGCTTAGAAAAATCATTAAAACCTCAAAGATATCTTAGCACCATCGATGATTCCATTTAATCTTAGATTTTAAAAGAAGAAGAAAACCAATTTAAGAAAAAGTTATAAATAATAATGCTATTCAAAAAAGAGTTTGAGACCATCTCTACCTGTGCAGCTCCTGTGATCATATTTGGAATGAAGTCTTTGTGGCCTGGAGCATCCATCAGCGTAATTACTTTAGTCTTTGTCTCGAATTTGGTCATACCCACATCCATTGTCACTCCCCTTAAACAAAGCATACATGCAATGCACCATTAAAACTGCTTTGAAAGCTTCATAGAGATATAAAGTGAGCTATTAAAAACACAATCATGAAATGATACACTTCATAGCTTTCATGTGATGTAGCCTGCACAAAAAAAATTGAAAGAAACCCACTTGCTGGAAAAGCAGCCTTCTAGAGCTGCCTTTCAGTAACTTCAGTCGCGAAGAAAAAACCACCCAAAATTCAAAGTCCATGGACCCATAGACTAAGTCCCAACAAGCACAGTGAGAACATGAAAATTGTACTGCATCTTTAATTCATTACTAATTCTACTCTTAATAGCTCTTCAGAAAAGGACATCGTAGAGTAACAGAAACATAGCCAAGAATAAAAAAAAAAATAAAATAGAAGGTATGGGACTGTAGGAATACAGTTATACATTTGCAAAGATCCACATGCAGAACTACTGATTATCAAGGAGGGATCACAGTGCTTTGTCTCAGTTCCACATCTCGCTAACCACCACATGTCCTGCACAGCACATAGGATAGGATTCATCAGACCGAATGCAAACACCTATCATGCCCATGTCTGCATCTGGTCACCTGCATCTCCCTTTATAGATGAAGACAGACCAGCACTTTCAAGGCAATTAATACTTGTCTCTATTTCTGGTTTCACATGTTAATTACATCCTATCAATGGTAGCTTGCATTAATAAAATAACATACTTAATACGTTGTTTAATTATTCTATTATAGATCTGTGAAAGGAATTGATCTTCGCGTTAGTCTGGTTTACACTGAGCTACATCTATGGGGATTAAGAAAAAGGCCTTTCCCCCATCAGCTTTTCCTCTTACTTCCTTAGACTATAATGTCACAACACCACTACCACTACAATATCATCAGCCTTAACCCATGTAAGACTACTTTTAAAATTGTGCTTGGTCGCTTCAGGGTTGCTCCTTCCTTCCCCGTACCTACACTCCCCAACACCCCCCCCAATCAGGTTTGAACATGCACTTTGTAAATGAAAGGACACACATAGGCAAAAGTCTAGCTATATACAGGGACACTGCAAAAGTGTATCCACCTTTAAAAACAACAACAGTTACACACTCGTTAGGGACTGCCTTACTCCATGTTCTTCAGCATCAGTTTACATTGTGAAGGTTATCTTCCCAACCAGAAGAGCTTATAAACACTATGAAACCATGGATGACAAGTGATTGTAAAAATATAAACACATAAGAAAATGCCTTTCTAAATTATTTTGTAAACACAGAATATCATGTCTTTAGCTTCCCATATAGTGCTCTTAAAAGCATTTACAGGTTTTTTTTAAATTAGCTTCACTGCTTCCCCATTACATATTTTTTCATGATAAAATTTAATTTTAAATTTCATATTTCACGTTAATAAATTAAAGGCAGCTTATAAAAAATACAATTTTAATTTATCAATTTAATTAATTTATAGATTTTATATTCAACGTAATCTAAGTCACATGTGATGAACCGACATTTCAGTGCTTAGTCTATAATTCTGACACCCTTTCATAGAAAAATTTAACCTAGAACTTTCCTATACAATGTTAACCAAACTGAGAGAGATTTGGCAACAATAAACCAGTAAGGCAGCTCTAAATGAACTAACTCAGCTACCAGAAGCATTCCACATTGTAGTCTTATATTGCACTCCACAGCATAGAAATATGTGATTAAATACTCAACCTCTTGTTCACATTTCTTATAAACAAACAAGGATACTATTTTTTTCTTTTGATAACGTACTCATATAGACAAAGAAAAATATTTGCTAGTAAGTACTGAGTAAATATCTTTAAGCATTTAGAATATTTCTACCAAAGCATTATTAGCAGACTGGTTTTTCCTAACAAATGTTGTTCTTTCAGGAAAAAAGGGTAATTCCCATTAAAAGATATTTCTACCTTTCTCTTTCTTCACCAGTTTCATCCAAGACCCATGCATATGCAAATGAAGCTTTGCCAGCCTTCTTAGATTCCTGTTCGTATTTGTGCATAGTTCTTTTGTTCACATTTCCCAAAAGATAAAGCAGATGACCCATTAAAGTACTTTTACCTGCATCAACATGTCCTATGAAGGGAAATAAATATTATGTCAATTTTATTAATTTACACATTTTAAATATAGTACATGAGGAAATATACTAAAACACATGCAAATCACATGCAGTAATAATGCTTATGCAATCCATAGAATTTCACAATCCTGTAAAATGGAGGTACAGAGAGACAGTTTATTGAACCAGTCAGTTGGCATGACAGCCATATAGCACCTCCAAATTCATACTAAAAGGAACACACCGCAAGAGTGAAACCAAACCAAAGTACATTTTCCTATACTGTCAAAAGGAAGCTAAGTGAAGCTCGGTCCTAGTCGAGGACATGTGAATGTACTCCCTCCAAAGAAAAACGGTCAAGCAGATGCAACTGAAAACAGTATGAGATTTCCCTTCCCTGGAGAGAGGGCAGTTTTGCTTCTATATCACTTCCAGATGCAGTCAACACAGTTTTTAATCTCTATGATTGTCAAAAATGTGATTTAACAGTATTACCTATTACCACCAAATTAAGCAGCTGCTTTCCTCCTTGTCTCTTCTCCAACTCTGCTTTCACATCTATTTGTGGTTTTGTCTTGCTTGACTTTTTTACTGGAGGAGGCACCGTATTCTGTTCTTCCAAAACCTGCACTACTTGGGGTGGAAGAGTAGATTTGGAGACTGCCTCAAGCACCCCAGGAGCTACACTGGCATCTTCAGTTAAGAGTCCTTTCAGAGGTGTGTTAGCATGGCCATTTTCTTCAGCAATCACACTAAGGAAAAAAAAGAAAACACAAAGAATGCAAATGACAAAGCAGCTGTAGAAATATAGGAGAGAAATTGAGTTTTCCCTTCACTATCATGTAAGCCCCAGACAAAGAGTATGTGATAAGCCCATTAAGGTGGAAGCGATAAGCAGATGGATACAAACTGCACAGATACCGGCTCTGAACATCTTGTCTGAAAAGCACTGTGTACAAAGGCAAGATAAGAAATAATCTTGTAAAATACATGAGAGAGATAAACAAAAGCTTCCCACAGGCACTTCTTTTAACAGGGAGGGAAAGGGCAGTTGTGCAGAACAACTACAGAGAGCTGGTTGTCTCTGAAGTAAAAGCCCAAGTCAGCTCTGAAGCGTCGATCCTAAAACAGTTTCCACATGCACTACAAGTACTGCAGCTAAATGTAGCGATCTTCTAGAGCGAGACTGGCAATATAGCACAAAGAGTAGAAACTATGCATATCTGAGCTGCAATTTAAGGTGCAATGCTTATATAGAGCCATAACAGACGAGTTGCATTTATCAATACTGAGAAAATTTGTTTTATGCATAAAACAAGGCATCTAGGACTAAGGAGATTTGGATTCCCCAACTCCCCTTCTCCAACACCCTGTTCTCCCACAGATCACCATACTAATCCTAGCAGTAATTAATCTTAAATATATTATTCTCTTACACACTCTCGCTCTTTTTCTCTCTGATTTGTAAATGAGGATAGTTTCCTAATTTACACAAGCATTCTGAGAAAATACAGTATGATCCTTCACCTGCTATGGCAAAGTTGACCACTAAAAAAGAACACTGAGTAACATCTTCAAGACAGCAAAAGCTTTCTTAGTGCCTAACAGAGCTCCATGGTAAAGCATCAAAGTCAGCAGCAAGGCAGGAACAGAAGCAGTTATTACAGGTGTGACAACGTTGTATCACGGCAAACTTCAACATACAAACCACTGACCACTACAGTATATTGAAAATACCTACAAAATACTGGATTTAAAACTTTATCCAAGGAGAAGAGGCTTCTTCCCCTGGAAAACTGGAAATCCTTTCCAAGGCAGACCACCACGCTGCAGGCTGTTTTCTGTGGAAAGGATTCATGAGGGCTCTCGGACTCAAGTGCCTTCACATCCAGGGTGAATTTTTCACTCTCCAATTTCTATTTACATACCACAATTAACTTCCCGGTTTTCCTCTTTTCAACTTCTATAGACAAAACTACTTATTTTGGTAGTTCAGAATCCCACATTGTGACATCTCTGGTTTTATTTGATATTAATTCTCATTTTCTGTCTGCATAGGAGTATGTGCATTGCATTAGTCCCTTTCCATTACATAGATCTCAGGAAACAAGATAATCCAAGCATGTCAGTTTACTGAACAAAGCCGTTCAAGAGGTATGATCTAAAATATTAAACCTAGGACATGTTCAGACTGAACGCAAAATTAACCTCTCATTATAGCACTAAGCAACATGGGACATTTTACAGGTCTCCCTTTTTCCCCTCAGTTTCAGAACCCACCAATGTAATCAGTACTGCAGCAGACTGATCGATTTTGGCACCTTTTTCATAAAGCCCAAAGCCAAATTTTTCTCTGGATTGTGAGAGTCCAAAGCAGAAACGTGAGCACTTTTTTTCTTTTTTTTTTTTTTTTTTTTTTTTTTGGCTACAGTTCCCCAACCTAGGCCATGGTCTTCAAGGCTGGATACACAGTCTTGTTTCTCAAATTAGCCAAGCGAAGAACTTAGTTTATGCCAGCCATGCTGGTTGCAGGGCCACAGATGGTACCTGCCCTTCTGCGTAATAGACAGACAATTCTGTACAAAGTCTATTCACAAGAACTTATCCTATCAAAATATTCTAAACCACTTGAAGGAGAAGGACAGGTTTATATCAAACTATTGCCTTGGGTCACACAATCATGATATTCTAGATTTGACACTACAAAACCAGCTGTACTGTAAGTATAGCCTTAGACAAGTTCCAGTATGCAACATCGTATCTGGACAAGCTGAACACCCTTTATAAGAAAATACACTTGATTCCCTAAATTCCAAAAATTAGTAGGTCATCATTGCTTTAGATGTAGCTATGGAGAAAGTGATTACATGTGAACTATTTCACAGAAAAACAGTCACTATAGTTATTCTTGCTTTCTTTTACTGGAAAAGATAAGTGCATTTCTATAAGGCTAACAGAAGGCTCTATTTTTTAAAATTCTTTAAATAGTACATTAAGTTCAAGCTGAAAATCTACTTTAGAATGGCAGAACAATTATTTTCTCCAACGCCTCTTCAGGGACCTTCATAGAAATTGACTGAAAACAATCAAGTTGATAGAAGGCAATTATGCAGAGAATTGCAGTGACAAAGCTTTCTACATATTTTAATAATGTATTTTAAATCATCTGAATGATATAAAGTATACCAGGTCATTTTTGCCTGGATCATGTGTTGAGAGCCTCATAAATTTACAATTACTTTGCATTAGACGTCTTTCATCAAGATTAAGACTCTTCCATCTTTTTCCCTTTTTTCAGATAAACTTCAGTTCAGTGTCAGCCTAACATCTAGCACTTTCACACTGAAGCACTATGACTAGTGCCAACATGCAAAAGCCAGGCTGTAATGCAAATATGGTATTTTACATTGGCATCAAGTTTTCTTCCTTAAAATTCTATTATTTGAAGTTCTGGAGAGAAGTATTTGTATAAGAAGTTTATGAAAGCAGACTTTACAAATGGCAATAGTTTTCTCTCCTTTTCAGTGTCTGCATTTCTTCTCAAATGAAATTTTCAAAAATGAAAAAAAAAATTAAAAGGAAGATATTTAGATGAAGCTGCAAGTAATGTGACCCAGAAACATAACTCATTCTTCTATAGCCTTCCAAAATATATTCAAAGACTGTCACATCAAGCCTATTAGAAGACAAAAATGTGTTTTGAAAGACAGTTATTTGTAAGCTTCTAAATTCTACTCTGTTTAGCTAGGTAATGATTTTTTTTTTCTAATCTCAGATGCTCAGATCTTCTTGCAGGCCAAAGACTATGTCAGTAAGAATTTCAAAAAACAAGATGGATGCTGAATGGTAGAATTCAAACTTATTACAGCATCTGAAAGAATCAGTTATTGCCAGATAAAATGACTACTCTCTCAATTCTAAGTAGCTTTTATTGTGACTACCACTGCTTAAGGCTGCCAGTTTTTTATTTTGGGTAGGGCAAAGAAAAAGCGCTAGACTCAAGTGAAATAATGAGTGAAACATTACTCTAGTCATCATAACATTAGGCCTTGCTACTTTTTCAAAGGTGCAATATTTGAACAGTCAGTACATTGCTCCATTTAGAGTTTTACAGGTTTCAGATATTACCCTGTTTTGGAAACCCACAAACAACCTGTGCCATGATAAACCAAGACGTGCCATTTCAGAGGAGAAACATCAGAATGGATGGAGTGTATGATCTACTTACAGAGCATCTCTGATGAGACAATTCATTTTTTTGCTGACCAATGTCAGGAAAAGGGAGAGTGAGTTAGGTATGTACCTAAGTGAGTTCACTAGGTACCTAAACAAGAAGATGGGCAGATGAAACGTACAATTCCAGTCTCATGGAAGTACATGAAGACAGATGCAGCAATAAGACCCTGACAGTTAGTTATTCCTTACGGCAACCAGATGAGTAGTTTATTGAAAGCTTGATAACAGCTCAGAAAAATGTTAAGGAGGTTCACCTCTAATAGTCAATGAAAAAATGAATGACATTGAAAATGTCATTTAAGACTTTTTCCACTGATATTTTTCAAAATTACTGAACTGAAAATTTGTCAGAAGACAGAGCCTATAGGACAGCACACTAGAACCTAGTAGGTCGCTAGTCCAGGCAGTTGAGGGTATAAACAAGCCTCTTCGGTAGCAAAGTTCCAACTTGGTCTGAGTTATGTTGAACCACCATATGAAGAAAAATTTATATTTGTAGGAAGAGCACTTCCTAACCAATTGCTTGCATCTTTCTATGAGAACCTGATGGAACTACCAGTGGTCTCAGTTTGCCAACATCTGTGCCTGTCTCCCACACCACTGCTAGACGCTAATGTGAAGCTATTGATTAAGCTTCTTTGAAAGGACAGATTAAGCACCTTCTATGTGCACTGAGGTCACGTACCCAAGAAAGCCTGACTGCCAGCAACTCAAGCACAAATGTCAAAAGAGCTTACCACAGCTTTTTGTTAGGAAATCAGCAGACATACAAAAGCCTGGCAAGGACCAACACTTAGTCAAAATTAAAACTGCCAGGCCAGAAACTTCCTATGTTGCCTTGCCAACAAGGACCATAAGAGTAAACTGAGTAAAATGTTATGGTTACATCACTGTTTTCTGGGGAATATTAAGAAATACAACATATGTTGTTACAAGACATGTTAGAAGACACTCACTCTCACACAACTGCTGAAATGTTCATGCTACCATGCATTCAAAGAAGAACCTGAAATCTTATCTGCTGAAGACTAACTCTGCATAAGTTAGCTTTTAAACATTATTTTCAATCTTCTAGTCTGGACGCTCAGTGAATTATTTTTATACAACCGACTCTTTCGGAGTACTTACAGTCATTACAGGAATGTCTACATTTATTTCCCCTTTCAAAATTATTAATTACACAATATTGGTCAGGCTGGTTAAAATAATCACCCTTTTTTGCTCACAACTTCTTCTGGCTTCCTTCATGACTTAACAGGAAGAAAAAGACTGGTAAATAGTTTTGCTAGAGCATCAGAAAAACAGTTTATCAGAAGTGAGCAAACTCCATTTTCTGTAGAAAATCCCACTAAGAACACCCAGCAACAAAGGCCATCAATGCTCAAAGCAATTCATGACTTCTAAAAATCCATTCATTTTAAATAAGATTCATTTATTTTTATGAGGTCATAGCTCATAACAACATTGAATCAAAGGCTGAATAGTTGGTCAAAGAATGGTTATTTTTGCTATTGCTAGGCCACTAGTTTTAAAAACGTGGTCCATGAATTACCCTTAAGATCCCATAAAAGCTGACAAAAACTAGTTCATACGTACTATACAATCACTTTCTAATGGTGTCTGCACCAACATCGTACAAGTATCTTGGGGTGAGAGTAGTGGGCACAATTACAGGTGTCTTAAAATCCAAACCACTATGAATAATTTAGAACACTGTGCTTTTGGTCAGTGATACAAATGATGTACTTAGAAATCTGTATTACTATAAAACATTTTATAGTACATTTATCAATGTAACAATAACATTGAAAGGGTCTAAAAAGAGTCAAAAGAACGAGCCTTTCTTAGGTGTTCATGAACACAGATTCATTCTGACCCCTGACAACTCATCCTTATGCTGCCAATCATCCAGATGATAACTGCAGAGGAAAAACCCCAACTCTGATACTCACGTTGTTGAGGCAGGGGTTCATGTTTTGCTTTGTTTTTCAAGTTTGGAAATGGATGCGTACAAAGGCATTACAGGCCTGCAAGGTAATGCTAGTGCCTCAGCTAACCACAATGTATTTAGCACAGCCTTTATGTAGAGATTGTGGGAAGGAGCTAGTCAAGCTCCATCTGTTAGGAAAAGAATCCAGGGAGCAAATGCCACTGTCCTACAGCAAAGAAGGAAAAATATGATGCAAATATGGTCAAGGCCTTCTCCCCCATTCTTCATGTCAAGGTCCTAGTGCCTTGGCAGTGCTGCCACAGTGGCCTGTGAAAGGAGGCCATCACTGGACTCCTCGAAGCAGGGATCTTTAGACATGCAGATAACTTTACAATCTAAATTGTGCTTTCTTCCATATTCATTGATTGGCTGTGCTCCAAATCTCATGCTTTTACAAATCACTCCACTTCTTGCCTATTCCTCCCACTTAAAGCTAAATGCCGTGCATCCAATTTCTACAGCAAAACAAGGTTGTTCTCTATTAGTATTTCAGCAGTACTACTAAATAAATGAGGTGAATTAAAAAACATCTTCACAATATTGAGCATTTATCTAAAGGGATTACCAGCAGGTCCTGAAGACTTAATTTTTTCTGTCACAAAACCCACTATGCCACTAAACTGGAAGCAAGCACAATACAAACTATTTCAGGGTCCTTGAAGAGAAGCAGAGTGGCTGAGAACCATGTTAGAGCCAATCATCTTTCCTCAGAGACTGAGTCTATCCAGGAATTACTCCAGTCTACAGATGAGGAAGCATTCTTCTTATCTCCTCCTTCCCTATGGAGCAGGCACACATACACAAGGTGTGGCAGTTGCTAAATAAATATCAGAGATACAAAATTCTTTATTTGTTCTTTTTTATAAACAAACATTTTAAATGGTCATTATTACAGCTAAAAAATTCAATCACTGCTATCCAGGACTAGCTGGCAGATCCTTTGTCACTCAGTTAAGATTCCTGGTTTTATAAACTTCTATCCAAATTAATTCAATTCACAAAAGTCCACATAAAAACTCCAGCTCATAAGAAGTGTAGTAGAGACAACAAAGAAGGTGCCATGACGTTGATAGGAATTTCGTGACCAAGTCCAGTTGTCACACCCAGTGTCACTGATTAGTAGAGGCAAGGGGGAAGGGGGGGGGAGGGGGGGAATTATTTTCCCTTTTATATATTGCAAATTTCAAACAGCACCGAAAAAGGATTTTGAAAGGCCCAGAAATTTTTCATTGGAGCTTATTGCATTTAAGTAGCTGAATGAAAGTGATGTCTCTTGGCAATGGCATTTAGCGGTATAAAGGGAATAATGACATCTGCTTCACACCTTGTATTAAATGTGCTAGAGAGACTAAGTAGATGCAACTGCTTGCTTTCCACTTCGTTATCAAACATGCACAAGATATTGTAAAATAAAGACAATGCTGCCCTCTTACTCCCAAAAACGCTTCCCATATCAGAACTACAAACTGCAGGATGAGGTCAGGATGTTGGCACTGCTTACGCTTGCAGATTTTTTTCCTGAGGATGAGCTATGGAATTTGTTGCCAGATTAGGTGTCTATGATAAGATTGGCTTCAAAAACAGAATAAACACATCCGAGTAAGAAAAATCTATTAACCATTCTTAATTGAAACAGCCTAATCAAAATGAAAAAAAAAAGATATGATATTTCATGGACTGTATTCCCAACATGCATGCCCTCTCCTTATATATATTTCTTTAAGTATATTTTTAAAATATTTTAAGTATTTCTTAAGTATTCACTGCTGGCTACTGTTGTAGGTAGACTCTGATCCAGATGTCTGTTTTCATGCTCTCACGAGACATCCCCCCAGCAGTTCCAAGTCAGGATAAAATTAGAACTACTGCTCAACCATTCTAATTTAGCTAAAGCACAAGGAGGACCGATTTCTTCTCTACAACAGTTGTACCCTGGACACCTGTTAAAGTTAATAAAAGCTGCAGAGGAAGGCAAAGTTTAACCATAAGTGACTGTTTTCCCCATAAATTATTCTTAAATGTATTACTGCCTTTGAAGAACAAGCAATTACAGTTAAGACTTATTGATTTCATAATTCCACTTAGAGAACTAAATTTAAAATAAACGAACCCCAAGAAAGTTCAGTATTCTATGAAGCGGATGTTTAAATAATCTGACTAGCTGATATCTCTCTGCACTATTCATAGTGAAAGGATTTGTTAAACTCAAAACGTGAGGTACCATCTTCTGAAAGTAATTCTGAGTCAAACAAGAAGCTGAGATGGTTAGTTCTGGAGAGTGACACTAAAACTGCTGTAAAAAATAGAAAAAAAAGAAGAAGAAAACTTGCTACAGGTGCATCAGTCTGAAAGAAGAGCTACTGATGTACCTTGATGTACGAGGGCTTGGCTTACCATGGAACTTCAAATCCCATAGATTGTTTCTTTCCAGACACTGTCATTTTGGTAACTTTTGGCACAATTTCAGATTCCATTCTGGCTGACTGGGAATCCCTTGTTTTTCCTAGTAATAGACAAAAAGTAAGTTTGAACTTAAGGTTGTGACTAGCAGGTGTTAAATATAAAGTTTAACAAGTTACATTACTTCTCTTCAACCCAGCGATAGCACTGTGATGATGAATTCTCACACTTCAGTGTCTTACTTCCATATAGTACATATTTATTCAAAATACTCTAAAGCCGGTTATGTTTATTGTGAAAAATCTCATTTGTATCTCCAAGCATTCACATGACACCTACACCATTCAAGAGCTTTACTCGCAGCAGTTCTGCCGGATGCCAGAAGCATTTCATACAATAGGAGGATAAAGAAACGCTTTGAGGCTGCTCATTAGCTGATTAGGTTAATTCTTATCTAGAGTTCTTTTGCCTTAACATTGTTGAGCCTCAAGGCTATTGTAAGGTAAAAAAATATGTCTACCTCAGGTACTGCTAGCAGCAGGGCAAGCTCTGTGTGGGCTACCAGGCCTTCCCTGAAATCTGGAAACAGAGTTGTCTCATACTGAATTATACTGAAGAAGGCAAGCAATACCCAAAAGCTGGCTAATTTGAAGGTTATCTAGAAATAATTACCACAGTTGAGTAACTTAATTACTTTAAAGGTATCAATTTTTACCATAACTTAAATGAAAACACGATTACAGTAAGGTTCATTCTTAATTTGGTGAAACTCCAGTTTCACAACCAATAACACTACAGTGCTACAAGTCTCTTGTCAAGCTGGAAAAGAAAATTTTTTTACTCTGGGGAGGGGAAGTAAACCGGCTTTCCCCCCCCCCGCCCCCCCCCAATTCCCTCTTTAATATGTTAAAATCCCTTCTCCCTTCAAGGAAAAAAAAGACTTCCAGCTTTACAGCATGAGTGGCAGCGCTGTGCCTTGTGTTCTGAAGGATGTCATACACACAGGAAAGCAAATCAACCTGAATTCAGAATTAAGCTGCAAGTTTTAAACAATCTTCACCTACAGATGTATCCAAAAACTATAAAAATGCCACTACTCTTCCAGTAATAGACTAATCTGGATACTCAAGAGTCAAGTGAATACTTATATTGAATAACAAGTTGATCTTTCAAGTATTTCAGATTACTACTGTAAGATGAACTGCTGGAGTCATTTGGTCCTACTCATTTAGATTAACTCTTTATTGCATTCTAAAGCATGACGGCTACACCTTTAAAATCACAGAATCACAATTACTTTGCAGGTTAAGTTCTGGTCAAGGCTGCTGAAGATTTCAGGTAAGGAAACAGAATACCACAGACATGTCTACAACAGCATACAAAGAAAGCTGTTGTGCAATTTCTAAACAATCACGCTATAGATTGAGACATTCTTATTTAACTAATGACTTGGTCTTCATCTCCCTCATTTATCTTATCTGCTGATACACATTTTATTTATATGACACCTGCAGGTCTCTGGAATTAGTCTGTATGTGTATTATTACTACCTGCATACCAAGTACACTGTAAATAAGGCAAAACAGTACGAGAAATAAAGGCAACGGCACAAATCATGGTTTACAATAATCACAAATTATGTAACTGACCAAAACCAGTAAAGATTCAGAATAGAAAATTCTCAGATCACTGGACAACAACTACTAGGTGAGTACAAAGATTCTGTTTCACCTTCAAGCTCCTACATAGATCAAGTACAGCATTTTAATAAGTAGTCACTGGAGCTACAGTAAAAATTACATTACTTTTGTTGCCAACTCGGTATGGCTTTTTCCACTTCAATTCTAACAATTTTCAAGCAGCCAGCACTTTCAACTGCCAGTTAAACACAAATGCTTTACATGTCATTTGAAAGCAGAATAACAGTTAATTCTCAGAAAACATTGCATTTGAGATCTGGCTGCTACAAACTAACAATTACAAAAAGCACAATGAAAATGAAATGATATTTGTTGAAAGAAACCAAGGTAACAATTCATATCATATCATTGAAAATAACTTGCAATCTATTAGCAATATTTGCTACATATGATCCAAAACCAAAAGTCAAAGGTTTTACAAAACACATCTTCTCTAATCAATTTACAAATTAAGCTTCACTCTGTACAAATACTGTAGGGGTGTTCAACACTGATCCAAAGTTAAATGTACAAGGAGACAAAATATATTCAACAAATCAAGTATTTGACACAGAAAACATGGATATTTAAAACTAGAGATTAGGAAACACCAAAAGTTAAAAGAAGATACAAAAAAATAAAATTACAAAGAGCAAGAGAAAGTAAAGCAATTGTCCATCAACAGCACTGACAGCTTGGGTGGGTTTTTTCCTTATTTATTTATTTTTATAAAGCACTAATACTTCAGCATAGGTGGAGTGAGGAAGCAGACCAGGACCATTTAAAGACAAACCAAACCATAGAAGATAATCCTGGGACGGTGGCACTTAAATAGATGCAAAGACACAGCAAGAATTATTAGTACACTACTGACAGAAGAGTCAAATATCATTTTCTGACTTTAATGCTTTTATAACCAAGTACAATAAAATCAAGCAGTGCATTTGAGATAAAGACCAAGTCTGTCCTTTGTGCACTTGCAGGCACCATTAAAGATTAATAATTATGGGCTTCATTACAAAGGACACAAGGCCGGTAAAGGAGTATAGTGTACTATCTAATCTATAGGGTACCGGAGAAAACTGCGTGATAAATCCTTATCTGCTTTAGCAGGCAAAGCAAAAGCTATCCAGCACTTAACAGATCATATGCAAATCCTTAAACTGCACCTTGGAACTAAAAGGAAGTCAATGCACAATGCCGATACAATTCTTAAAACACTTCTTAATCAGCAAGCAGAGTATCCTATGGCTACTGAAGTGCACTACAAGCCTGGAAAAAGTACAGGAGCAGTAATCCCACTCTGATTAGGGCAAGAGCAGCTGTGAGGAAAGCTAACCTCTGAAGGGAAAGGATATAAAGGGTATCTAAGTTCTTACCAACAAGAAAGGCTTCATAAAGTTCTTCTTGCCTACTGCCATCTAAACATTCTTAAACACGTACCTAAGTAATTCAATGACAAATACGCTTCCTAAAACAAGAATACACATAAAATAAAAACAAAGATGGATACATCTTTCATAAACTCCTAAAGAAGCCCCAATACCTCCTTGCTACATTTCACTTAGTCTAACATAGCAAAAATCAAAAATAAGAGTGGGTCACATGCAAGTAAATGCACCAATTGGCCAATGGTATCAAACTGCAAAGGAAGAGATTTTACTGAAGAGGACAATCCATAGAAATTCTCACAATTCACTAACTTAACTCTAGGAAAATTGAATTTTCCTTCCATGAAAACAAAAAGTATACATTCATAAATTATAAAAATGAAAAGGCTTGTCAGCAGGATGGTTCTCGCACCTCAGAATGTTTAAAACCCCAAACTTCTAGCCTATTTTAGGCAAAGTGGTTTTCAGATAGATATTTGGTATTTAGGCTGCACTAAATCAGAGTACCTAAAGCACACTGTAGCTATGAGTCAAACACCACCACAAAACAAAACATGCACTGATGCACCTTGTCTCAGTGTTAAATTAGGATGAGCCTAATACCAAAGGGAACAGTCAGACCTGCACTGACGTTACTCCAGCACAACTATGGCAGCGTGAGTGTGACAACTTGACAATCAAAGGTCGTCCCTTTATTGTTCTTCTCTTTGCTTTTACCTTTTCTGTGACTGCCACTTGGTCTTCCGACTTAAAAGCCTATTGATTCAGGCAAAAAGTATTACTAATGACACCCACTCTAACTTCAAACTATTAAAAAGTACACCCCCAAAATCTGGTGGCACAATAAAGTATTTGCAGACTGATAAACAGGACACAGACAGGATACATGCAGGAAGCAAGTAAAGCATAGGGACAGGCTTTAAAAAAATAGTCTCTCTGAGTGTTCAAGCTAGAATAGCAAAACTGTATGGATATAGTCAACCATCTTCCTTTACTGTAGGCAACTCCCTAGATTTTGGATTTCCTTTGTAAAAATGGCTGTAAGGAGTACCTGTAAAAGATTTAAACAAACAAATCAAAAGATTATTTTGGTTTCTTTATCATAGATAACAGTTATTTTTTCAGGTTTTGTTCCTTTATATACTTACACTGAAAGTAACAGGAAGATAAAAATTGGTCTTTTCTCTAACTCTACTGGAGGTAAGGAAGCTATGTTTCAGTACATGAAGGTGTTGATTGTCAGTCTACTCTGTTCCCAGGTAGTTTAGAGGTGCATAAAAACAACAGGAGTCTATTAAACAACCACCACCTCAAGAAAGACTTGCTGATACCAAATGAAGCAGGGATATTGGTATATTTGGAGAAATGCAAATTAGCACTGGGTATTTAGATCCACATTGGCTTCATTCAGATGGCCCTACCTTTTAACAGTAGAAACAAAATGCCATTTTTGATTTCTATAGACAGAAGCTTCTCCTCCCAATTTGTCTTCCTTTCATGAAACTATATAATGGCACTGAAACTTTAAGCTCAACTACACCATTGCACAGAGAAGCCTGCTTCTGATAAGATGAAACAGAATTTTTAATATGCCTGAATTCAGCTTGAAAAAACAAGAATAATGTCAACATGTTAGGCATGTCTTGAGTCCACGCTTTTTTGGATGTCAATCCCATTTAGATAAATGCAATGTCTACACACAAAATGACTACTAGCATCATATCAGCACTGGCAAGGAACGCACCTCCAAGGGAATTACGTGCTAATTAACTGTGGCGAGACTGCAGTTTCTTTTTCTTTAAAGCTTTAAGTCATTTACATGCTTTTGAAATTTTTACTTGTTTTACATTGATTCTTCTGTTTTCAGAAGTGGTATGATCACTTAAACAAAAAGGCTGAATACTATTTCAATTTCAAATGGGGCTGGGGAGCCTAGACACTACTGACACTTAACAGAATTAATTCATTTAAGCAGGTCCTCCTAGTGCTGTCTAAACCAGCACTGCCATGGAAAAATACAAATGTAACACCAT